TCTAATGGGGAGGGTGTGGAAGATTTTATTGATTTAGAAAATCTAAATGATGATCAATGAGCAACTACTGAACATAAAGAACCTCTAACTACTGAATCTACATGCTCTCATAAAGACATAGACTCTTTAGATTAGAATCATCCAACTAGTGACAAATCTAAGCATCCTAGAGAACTGCCATCCAGGGATAAATCAAATCATTTTGAGGTCAATATCATTGGGGGATCTAGAGGTTACGTAAGAGGGTCTTAAATGACCTAACATATGCAAACTATGTATCCTAGATTGAGCCTAAGAAGGTAGAGAATGCCCTTAGAGATAAGTGTTGGGTGAATGCTACGCATAAGGAGTAAAATCAATTTGTCAGAAATAATGTGTGGGTTTTAGTCCCTAGAACTGATAATTGCAATGTTATAGGTACTGAGTGGATATTCAAGAATAAGACCGATGATTAAGGTACCACAACCATAAACATGGCTAGGCTAGTTGCCCAAGGGTATACTCAGGTTGAAGGTGTTGACTTTGATGAGACATTTTTCCCTTAGTACGTCTTGAGTCCATTCGCATCCTCCTTGCTGTTGCTTGTATCCTGGGGTTCAAGCTTTATCAAATGGATGTCAAGAGTGTCTTCTTAAACGAAATACTTCAAGAAGATACATATGCAGAGCAGCCAAAAGGGTTCATTGACCCTAAGTTAACTCATTATATCTATAAACTGAATAAATACTTGTATAGTCTGAAACAAGCTCCTATTGACTCTCTTGCTCATGAATTTGCTGAATGTATGAAATAAAATTTTGAAATGAGCATCGTTGGAGAGCTAAGCTACTTCTTTGGGCTTCAAGTGAAGCAAACGGATGACGGGCTGTTCATTTCACAATCAAAGTATGCAAAAGATCTTGTCAATAGGTTTGGACTAGATAGTAAAAAACATACAAAGACATCCATGAGCACAAGTGTTAAGTTAGATCATGATCTTACCGGTAAAAGTGCTAATCAAATAATGTATAGAAGTATGATAGGCAGCTTGCTTTATCTTATTGTCAATAGACCTGACATAACATTCAGTGTTGGATTGTGTGCAAGTTTTCAAGCTGATCCTAAGGAATCTCATTTGAGTGCAGTGAGGCGTATCATTAGGTATGTAAATGGAACTGTGGATCATGGAATCTCGTATTCTAGAGACTCCAATCTTGATCCAGGTGGCTACTCCAATGTCGATTGGACTGAAAATGCCGATGACAGAAAGAAAACCTCGGATGGTTGTTTCTATTTTGGTTCTAATCTCGTGTCTTGGATGAGTAAGAAATAAAACTTAGTCTCTTTGTCCATGGTCGAGGCTGAATACATTGTACCCGGTAGCTGTTGCACTCAGTTACTTTGGATAAAGCAAATGCTGAGTGATTATGGGATTAATCAGGGTATTATAATTATGTTCTGTGATAACACTAGAGTTTTCAAATCTCCAAAAACCCTGTTCAGCATTCTAGGACCAAAAATATTGACATTTATCATCATTTCATTTAAGAGCTTATTGAGTCCAATGTGGTATTCCTAGAACACATTCTATAGAAAATCAACTTGCTGATTTGTTCCCTAAACCTTTAGATGGTCTGCGATTCTGTCACTTAGAAAGGCTGTTGGTATCTATGTATCTCCTTGACCATCTTTGTAGGGACATCCATGCACTTTTCCTTTTGTTTGTATGTTTTTGCATTCATTTAATTGCATATTTATTTTGATTTGCATTTTCCCCTTTATGCAACTTTAATTTTATCATAGGACATAAAATTTTTATCACTTAAGCATTGTATGTGTTTCACTTAAACTTGCATCTTGTGACCAGATATACATTCAATAAATGATTAGTTTCACGCTCCATCACTTGAATTGAGTCTGTGTGGAGTATTTGGTATATGTCTTTTCAAATTCTATCTGCACACCACACACTATAACCATGTAAGTGAGCCTTGACCGCGTATGTAAGACTTGGGATGATTGTCATATGTTGATGAGGTGATCTTGAGTGTGAATTGATCTTTGATTAAGTGAACTAAATATTGGTGGTTCATCCTAAAAAAAATTAGATTATTGGGTCACATCTTATACCCGTCTTCGTAGCCTAGTTGACTTGAGCAATTAAGCTTGAGGGGTTTTTCATAACTTGGGCTCTAAAATCAACTAGTTTGGAAGTCATCGACCCAATGTTCACTACAGTGGGAGAAAGAAAATTATACGCCACATATTCTTTTATTTTATGGGTCCTAGTGGCGCTGGATTTGACTTTTATAGTTCGGGGGACAAACTCTTTCAACAGTGATTTAGCGTATCTTTTCTCACAAATTTAAGGGTTTCAGTCTTACCTGCATGGAATTAGTGGCACTTTTCACCTATGAATCACGAATTAGTGGCACTTTTCACTCCTTCCAAACTTGATCTCTGTGTATGGGGCAACGTGTCTAATCATTAAGCATGTCATAATTGAGGTCAAATGCATTTCTTGGTGGACTTACATGTTGAATGCATGCCATTTTTTTTAAACAAAAAAAAAATGGTGTTACAATTGAAACTTGTCAAAGTGATGCTCAAAATCTACTTTTTCAATAAGTGGTGCTATTTCTGTCAATTGTTTTTCACTTGATTTTTGCTGTTGTCTCGCACAAGCGACAATAACAGAGCTTCTGTCGCTCGATTTCGCTTGAGCGAAGGTCAGTTCCTTTGAATTCTCGCGACTGGTCGCGAACACATTCTTTTTTTCACATTTCATCCATTTTCTCTCAAATCCTCACTCGTCCACCATCATTTTCTTACCTACATTGTGTTCTTGATTGATTGTGCACCACTCCTCCATGATTTCCTACCATTTCATCTTGCATTTTCTCAATTTCATGGTAATTTTCCTTCACCTCTTGCGTTTTCATTGAATTTAGGGTTTTTTATTTGAACATCTATTATGGTATAATTCGCTAATCTCAACTGATTAATTGTATGCTTGTGTTGTCTATTTTCCCATTTGTTTGTATTTCCATTATGACCAATTCATTTCGTTTCATATTGAGCACTCGTATGTAGCCCTCTCTTAATTGTGCCATTAGTTGTGACTCCATTGTCTCTTTTTCTCTAAGCATGTTGGGTTAGGTATAGATGCTAGATTATTGAATTGTGGATTGGGCTATGTGGTGTGGATTTGGAAGTGTTGGATTGTTGCTTATAAGACTTGCATTGCACACGTACGCAATGTGCTCGACATTTGCTCCATCTACGCCTTTCATCACTGTTTGCCTCATCCTTGCACACGTTATTTGAGCATGATGTTGTGGATGTTCTAGGTGCTTAAGTCACAATTTTGGTTTTGATACGATACTTGTTCATGTGCTTCTGGCGTCATGTTTTCATAATACCTATGTCTTAGAAGCATGCATTGCGACGAAGCCTCTTGTCACCCCGATGTTTCTTGACACTTCTTCGCTTGCATTGGACCGTGTTGCATTGTTTTGTATGTTTGGTACGTTCATGCCTAGATTTCCATGTTTCATACATGTTTGCATCGTTTTGAGCGTTTTCACATTTTTTGCACAGTATTGCATGCATTACCTTAAGCTGCATTGTTTTGTGTATTTTTGCACCTGGTTGCACTGTGATGCATGTTTGTCTACATTTTTGAATATTTCTTGCACGCCCTTCTAGACTCTGCTTTATAGTTGCCCACACCTTGCCTAGGTTCACGTGCATCTATGCATATCTTATTTTAGGTAATCTACGAGACTTGACATTCTCCTCTTGCTTATAGATTCCAGATGGCACCCAAGAGGGCCCGGTCTACTCCTCTGCCGACCAGTGGGTCGACTTTATATAGCTGATCTAGGTTCATTTCATCTACGGCTTAGGATGTGTTTCGGATTCAATTTTCCTCAAGTCCTATCTTCGTTGAGCGTGAGGTAACTCTCTCAGTCCTTCCACTAGACTTAGTAACCATTTTCACCTCCAAGGGTTGGGAGCCTTTATTAGTTGGATTGAACCCATTGCCTAGTCTCCTAATCCAAGAGTTCTATACGAATATCCATGATGTTAGAGGGTCATCCTTTAAGGTTTTCCTTTGGGATCAGACGATTAAGATCACCCCTGACGTCATCTTGAGCACTTCAATTCTGTCCCAATTGATTCCCTAGTTTGGTCAACTCTTTTTAACAATCCATTAGGAGGTGGCCCACATACGATTTGCACAGGTTCGCTTCCTACTTACCGATAGATTTTGTTGCGCATTGTGTGCACAAATTTTTGGCCAGTTTCTCATACTTCTTCACTACCTATGGAAAAGGCAAGATTTCTCTATGCTCTCCTACATGGTGATTCCATTGACCTGCCCACTTTTATTTGTCACCATATTCTGTGCACATTCAAGATTCTAGGTCATCGAATTGCCTTCCCTATGCCTGTCTGATTCGCCATCTGGTGACATCACATGGGGCTTTGTTTCCTGATGGGGTCTCTCATTGGACCCTTCATCCCATTAGTTATACAACTTTCTCCTAGAGTTGGTCCCATGTTCCTTCTTTTTTTTCTTCTGCTTTCGTTTAGCCAGTTGAACTTGTTGACTCGATAGTACCTAAAAGAAAAAATGAAAGGAATATCAGCCCAGAAATGGTAACTATGCAACAGCCTAGCAGGGAACAACCATACCAACAAATTCTGTTACGAAAGGAGGAAATGAAAAATCTATATAATAGAAATTATGCTATATCCTTCTAGAATTATTCTTCCACGTATGATCCAGCTTGTCGTCCACGTGTATTTGAGAGTATATGCCTTGTAGGCCACTGGGTTGACTGTGCTGCTGCTGCTGATCTTTATCTTCTAATAGCCCCTCGCAAGGTGGAGAGTAGATATCCTCTACTTCCATCTTGAGCAAATGAGAGTAGAAAGTAGGAGAGCTTAAAGCCTTAGTCAAAAGGTCAACAACTTGTGATCCCCTACCAACATAACCAGTAGTAATACTTCCATCTTGAATCTTGTCACGTATGATATGACAATCAAGCTCAATATGTTTGGTCCTTTCATGAAAAACAAGGTTTGATACGATGTAAAGTGCGGCTTTGTTATCACAATACATAGTGGCTACCCCAGGGTGTGTAATTTCCAAGTCATTAAGTAAATACCTCATCCAAGTTAATTCACAACAATGATTAGCCATTGCCCTGTATTCAGCCTCTGCAAATGATCTGGACACAACTCCTTGTTTCTTTGACTTCTAGGATACTAAAAAAGCCCCAATAAACACACAATAACCACTAACCAATCTTCTCGTGTCCTGGCATGCTCCCCAATCCGAATCACAATAATCTGTAGGCTTCAGGTTCGATTGAGTAGAATAAAACAATCCATGTCATGGTGCCCTCTTGATATACCTTAAAACTTTGTAGGCTGCATTAATGTGTGGTAATCTAGGGCTATCCATGAATTGACTCAATAATTGTACTGAAAATGATAGGTCAGGCCTTGTTATTGTCAAGTATAATAATCTTCCAACTAGTCTTCTATAGAGTGATGGATCAGGAAGAAGTTCTCCTTGCTCTTTAGAAAGCTTAAGGTTTTGATCAAGTGGAACTCGAGTTGGTGCTGCCCCAATTTTACCTAAATCTGTCAAAATGTCTAAAGCATACTTTCTTTAGCATATGTGAATACCATGATCAGACCTGGCCACTTCGATTCCAAGGAAGTATTTCAACTGTCCTAGGTCTTTGATTTTGAATTTCTCATGTAGGGAGGCCTTGAGAACATTTACAGATTTAATGCAACTACTAGCCACTATAATGTCATCGACGTACACCAGGATGGCAGTAAAGAAATGTTTGGTAGTTCTTGTAAATAGGCTATAATCAGCCTTAGATTGTGAAAAACCTTGTCCAATAATGAAGTTAGACAATTTAGAATACCATTGTCTAGAAGCTTGTTTAAGACCATACGAGCTTTTCTTTAGTTTGCAAACTTTTGTCCCATCAGCATTAGGATAACTTGGAGGCAATTGCATGTAAACTTCTTCCTCCAAATCTCCATGTAGAAATGCGTTGTTTACATCAAATTGATATAGGTGCCACCTCTTAACAGCAGCCATAGCGAACAATGTCCTTGTAGTGACTAGTTTTGCCACATGGGAGAATGTTTCATGATAGTCGAGTCCTTCTAGCTGTGTGTATCCTTTAGCTACCAACCTCACTTTATGTCTTTCTATTGTCCCATCGGCATTGAATTTAGTTTTATAGACCCATCTACATCTTATAGCTTCCTTACCAGGAGGCAGATCAATAATTAGCC